AGGCAAAACAAGAATGAGAGAAAATATAGACCTTCTGCTGTAACTGTGCAGATACTCATTTGAAGGAGCAAGGTTGAAGTGGGATCACTATTTGGCAGCACGACATACAGAATGTGCGACAAAGGGTCTTATGAGTGGAGTTATCGGGTCTTCTCTTCTTGAGTTCCGAGTACTTGAAGCAACAATGTGATTGAGGACCATATATGTGTTTCTGCCAACTGGTCGTGATTGTGGAGTGAGATGGGAACCAAAGATGTCCTCTTCGGCTGATGTTGTGGACTTTTCTCTTATTAATCAAAGAGCTTTTCCTCTCATGCATACGTCTTTTATATTGACATGTCAATGGTTTAAAACTGTGATACTGCTAAAATTTCTCCAAGTTAGGCCCCAATATTCTGGTTTTTCCAAGATCAGGTCATCCTGAAAACCTACCAATTACAAAAATAAAAGTAGGATTATGACTTGGTAGTGTGAAAAATATGAATGTTGTACTATATGATAGAGAGGGTTTAAAAATATCAGAGTTAGAGAGAGGAGGGTGTATTTGCTGTTGTCAATTGCGTTCATAAGGAAAAACAAATTTTGCACTCCTTTGTTATTTAGATGTATACTGGGATTGTGTTATCTGCTAGGCGCGCAAAAAACCAAATCTAAGCCAATCAAGTGACAAAGATATTACTGCAAGTCTTGGCGATGGCTCTCTATTTGTTTGCAATTAAATTTCGTCTATTTCATTTGTTTTCACCGGAAAATTTTATTTTGTGTCTCATACAACTGACACTAGTTGTATGAGGTAACTTTTTTGTTTCACAATTTTGTTGACCCAGATTTTTGTGGACCCAGAAGTGTAAGATTGGGGTTTACAAATTTGTGAGACAAAAGGAGCCTCATACAATTAGTGTCAGTTGTATGAGATACAAAATAAAACTTCTCGTTGTCACTAGTTAGATCACTTATGCAAGCAAGCGCCATGAGAATGCAAGAATACTTGTATTGTATTCTTGTTTCATAATAAATCTCACATACAATAATACGTTATGCATTATTCTAACAATGCTAGATTTTTATGTAGAGATCAAACTTGTTATCCAACCAACAACAACAAACATAATGTAATTTTACAAGTTGGGTCCGGAGAAGCTAGTGTATGTAGATCTTACCCCTACCTTCAAAAAGGCTGGAAGGTTGTTCCCGGTAATGTTATCCTACCAACCAATACGAAATTTCTTTAACATAAGTAAAGATAAATTTTTGATATTATATACCAACAGATAAAAACACACACAAAAAGAGGAAATAGAAGAAAAAATTGTTTTACACTAAACGCCAGATAGAGCAATGATGTCCTCACTTTGTATTTGAGCTGAGTACGGAAATAAGCCAAAATTAGCTCAAACTTACCAACAGGCAAGCACTGATTACCAAAAGTAGCCACCAAAAATTGGAAAATTTAAATAGCTACCTATAATGTTTCGATTATGTTAAACATATAGATGATGCAATATACAAAATTTAAGAAAGATTAAAGATGATTTGGTTTGGAGACAAATTTATAGTTCAAATCAAATTTAAAAATTTCGGTTGCCCACGGGTATAGATACACATGAGGAATATAGTTGATACTTATAGCATAGATAAATAATACACAAGAAGATACACAACTCATCTTCTACTTCAATTTTGGTTCAAATTTCAATTCAAACCACCTCAAATATCCACCAAATCGTCTCAAAATTAAGATTGAAACCTCTTGAGATGTACCCAATTTATTCTAACAACACCCACGTAAAACAACGAAATTACGGTGGTAGTTGAGTACTAAAACCTAACTTAATTATAAACATAATGGAATTTAAAAAAAAAAACGCTAGCAAATGACTACTAACACCTAATGCAATTGTAAACACGACGGAAATGGAAAAAAAAAAAAAAAAAACATGCTAGCAGTTGAGTACCAAAATTTTCATAACTTAAATAAGCTAAGCAACACAATAGAGTTAGGTTGTGGCCAACTCTTCCTCTTAGGGTTCCTCATCACTACAACGTTCTATCTAGTTCACTTTAAAAGTATCACATTACAATTTTTAGTTTTAATATTTATCCTAAAAAAAGATGATATCATCTGGTGATTTTATTTGTCTAACTGATATTGATCTTTAGGAGCTAAGTGCTAACCATCAACTTGATTAGCTTTTATTAATACCAAGATCGACTAGAATGAAACAAGACGAATACGAGCTTAAATGCAACATAATAAAATAATATTCGTAGCATTGTTGCTCTAAAAGGCCAAACTTGATATTTTTCTCAATTTCTTTTTCATCCTTTAGCTCAACATTAAAGATTCACTTCTAATTGTTCTTATTATTTATTCTTCTTCTCCCTCAGTGTCGACGACTTTGCACCCCCAAATTCCTCGACCGTTTGTTCTATTTCAATTCTCCTCCCGGATTCAAAGGCGATAAGCACTACTTGTAAAAAGAAGAAAAAAAAATAATACATAAGGAATTATTTATTTGGAGGCATATGAAGATTATTTTGATGAATTATATAAGCAGCAGAAGCAATTCCAGTATCAAATTCACATATAATCTAGACAACTAGCATATACAGAGTTTTCTGGGTTACCTCTTGAAGCGTGAACACAACCCTTCAGTCACATGAGCCTTCAGCTTCACATCGTCTCAATGAAATATTCACCACCTGATCACAATTTCCGAACATTCCACGGCTTTCTACTGGGTTACCCAAATAATATCCGAAAATAGTAATTTTGTGTGAGCGAAAATCCCTAGGAAAATGCTGAAATTCCGGCCACCGTCAACTGCCTCCCTCTAGGCGAAAAATCTTATGTATTTATAGCATAATTTTTAAGGGTTAAAACCTTTTTCCAAAACATGCTGGCTTTTCTTTTTCACCAAGAAAATGATTCCTTTATTTTCTATTATTTAGGCACATCAGTGACCACATAATTTAATTAACAAGGCTTCTAATTATGGAATTAATTTCTAATTTTCGAAATAATATCCACCATAATACATATGAATTATTCCACTAAAAATTCATAATTTCACTCCTTATTCAATTTCAAAATTTATCCTAAATCTTTTTAACTCCCCATGTTAAGATTCAGATACTAATCAATTAAATTAAATTACTAACAATTTAATTTCTTGATTATTTTCTTTAGACTTTCGCTTAACTTATTTCATGTGTCGGATATAAAATCTACTGGCCGGGTTTACACATGAAAACTTATAAGCTTTCATAAAGGTGTATCATTAATCTCTAAACCGAGACATGGATTCCATTAGCTAACTATTATTTCGCCAATGTACATTATTATTATCCAATTTACCAAGCATATTGACCCACGGAAGAATCTCGCCTTTTAATAAATCAAAACAATATTAATATACATCTAATAATAATTATATCAAGATTAAGAGTATGAGTACATTTAATGGTTAGAGAACTTATTTTATTAAGTCAGTATAAAATACTTATCTTTAGTTGGTTCGTTCAATACATACAAAATATACTAGCACAAGAAGTTGGAATTAAACCATTCCCATAATCAAGATAAATTATATTTAATCTTGTGCTACAATCATTCCTGATGGTTCGTCCAATTCCATCATTAGATTGTGAACTCAAATTTGATACTTATAAGAACCGATGATTTAATCTTCCTGTATAAGCTAAACTCTATACACTAAATCATCTACTATATAAGCAAATGACACACACTAATATATGATCTATCTAAATCTTTATTAAAATAGAATAAATAATTATTTCATAATAAATACTACATCCAAACTAGTGGTTAATAGTATATATCATAACACATTTGCTCCATTAGAATGGAGAGAACTGAGTTTACTGCCGTGCACTAAAGATGTTCACTTAGTACGTTGTTGGATCATTAAACTAGAAAGAAGGTATTGGCATTGTCTTAGTCTTATCCTCATTCCACATGTAATTTCAATTTTAGTGGTTGATTCAAACTTTAAAAATAGAAGTCCGTCATTAAAGGCCGTTCGAAGCTTCGATTTTAGAAATTGAATTTTTCGAATTTGTTAGTTGTTTGGATTGCGTATTGTTCTAATTGATTGAAAACAACAAGATGAGTTCATAACTTAAAATTTGAAGTGATTGGAATAGATTTGAGCTAAATTTGAGTTAAATTTCAGAAGATGCTCCACAAAGAAGAAGAAGAACACGTGAAACTCCATTGGAGGATTCATCTGCATAACAATGTATAATATTATAAAATAATGTATAAATACCTTTTATATGCTATTATATACAAGGTCGATACATTATTTACAGATATTTGGTGGATTTCTCGTATTTATAGGTGAGCTTTAAAAAAATTTAAATAGCGATTTTGAGAATCTATTCGAAGTTGGATGCTGAATCTTGACCTATTGTTTGAGGCTACAACTTTGCAAAATTGTATATAAGCCTCATAATTACAATATATGTGTGTGAATTGTACTTATATGTAATTCTCTCTTCAATTTACGTGCTTTATTTCATTTTTTTGTTTTAAAATTAGTGTTACTTTGCTACCCTTGATAAGTTTTTAATTTGAACAATTTTCATACTCTTAAGAATTGAGATGATATATTTAAAACCATAATCCAAATAATACTTTTGAATGCTACATACCTTTAGTTTAAAACTATAATTCAAATATCTATCTTTATATTCTTAATCACATCAAAATAACACGAAGGAAATTACTATATATATATATATATATATATATATATATATATATATATATATATATATATATATATATATATATATATATATATATATATATANTATATATATATATATATACTACTTAGAAATGTCAATTTGAAGTGGAGGATGTGAATTGAAGAAAATGAGAAGTTCAATTTACAGACTACAGTCACGTGGTTGAAAGATGGCTGCCAAAAGGAGATATTTCTAACAAGGAGTCGTGCAATAATTTTAGAAACTTGTGGTTAAGAGTACTTTTCCGTGAAGAAATTGAAGCCAAAATGCAAAAGCAACGAACTGCCACTTTCCTCGATAGTACTTTTATGCTTCATTGCTTATACCAAACCAAAATGTGAAAAACAATTGTCACCTTCTTAACAAATCATAACGATCATTCTCTAATTTCGTGGCACCTACCCACTCCCGTCCGCGGGAAAAAAAAATATCTGCTTCAACAATGGCGCAATTCACCGTGAGAGGGCGCGTTAAGCCACTGTTCAACGGCGATGGACTCTCCGTCGGCTTCGAAGTTACCGGTAGTCCTTTAGGTCGTGGTAGTAGAGGTGTGCACTGCAGTGAGGCTCCTTGTTCATCACCGCTACAACTTCAGGAACTCAAACTCCGTTTTTCTGGTGCTCGTAGTAGTACTACCAGAGTCTATGCAAATGCTTCTTCCTCATCAATCGGAAAATCAAAGAAGTTCCGCATGAATGATCAATCGAATGGGATGAAGGAAGAGGTTTGGGAGGAAATCATAGAGGAAACGGAGTTTGAGAAGGATGAGCTTTCCACTTTCAGAGGTTTGGTCTTGGACATATCTTACAGGTGTGTGCGTTTTCTGGTATAACTAGTACATTCGCTGTTTGAAAATTAGGGTTCGAGTTCTTTTTGGGAATGATCTTGTTTGAATTCTTCTGTAGAGTTGATAAAACAAGTATTCGTCATTGGAGTATACTGTACTACAATATAAAATCTGATCAAGTGAATTATTTAGTCTTTAGTGTTTGACTAATACTATTTGTCATTATTTTTTAATAAGTATGTTTGGCTAATGTTATTATTTGATTGTTCTTGAAAGCCCATGACTAGTTTTGTTCATGTGAGATGTCACATGTTATAGGGGGTAAAAGAGATTGAAGAATTTGTAAAGGTTATAACTGTCGAGATACAATTTTTTTTTTTTTTGGCAATTAAACAATTTTATTACCAAAGTATAAACTATGTACAGCTCAAGAGATAAAGAAAAACAGTCTGCTGAGCTGGACAGAAGGCCCCAGTTCAGCTCTCATTTTATATCCTACCAATTTCTAGCACCTTCATCTCTACTATTCTAGTTTAAGGATAAAAATTCAAGTTTTTTAGTTTTCCCGCTACGGATGGCTTTATCGACCCCTTATGAAATACATCTCGAACAATAATCTTAATGATAGTATCAACATCCCTTTTTTTGTTCATGAATACCCTTTGATTCCTCTCTTGCCAGACATAGTAGACACCCCCGGCTAAAACCATCCTGTACAGCTCAGCCTCTGGATTCTTGCCATTATAGTTAACTACAGCCCAGTCAAGTTCATCATTCCAGCTCATTACTTGCCTCCGAATACCTTGCCATTGCATCAGTTTACTCCATCTTTCAGTAGCAATTGTGCATTGAAAGAACAAATGTGCTATACTCTCAGTTGCCTGGTTGCATAAGGGACATATATCAGATGAAATCACTCCCCACTTATACAGCCTATCTCTTGTGTACAGTCTTCCATGAGCAGCCAACAATACGATGTAGGTGTACCAATTTTATTGCAAGTTATTCTTCTCCAGGGAACCTTAGGATACATCTTCTTGATAGAAAAGTGCTCCATGTTGAGGTACAAATTTCTTCATCTTTTGTGGAAAAGAAGGTGGTTTCCTTGAAATCAGGATGAAGAAGAATGGAGGATGGAGGTCTTAGGTAAAGAAAGAGGACCCCCAATATTCTTATGCAATGCATTTGTCTGAAAGTATTCTACTTTTTTGGATTAGGCTGGTGCCGTACATCTGAACATAGAAGAAGTCTGCTTTTGTTTTCATGCTGCTATCTTTCGTCATTTCTATTTGTTTTGCATTATATCTATTGTTTTAAAATTTAAGCAGTTACTGGAGTGGTATACCTCTTTTTGAATTTGTTGTCAAGTCTAATTACTTTTTGCTTGCTAGGCCTGTTAATGTTGTCTGCTGGAAACGGGCTATTTGCTTGGAATTCATGGAGAAGGTCAGACCATTTGATTTCTTGCTGTTGTTAGAACTCCTTGTAATTACTACATTTGTTCCTTCCTGTGGCCTTACCGATCAAAACCAAAAAAAAAAAGAATTTCTTCCTGTTGCCTCAATAGAGCCAGCATCAGATCCAAGATATAAACTCCACGTGTAATGAATTTTTACACAAATTTATGTTCCGCGTTGAAAGTTCAGGGTTCATATGAACCCGGTGCATCAACCTTGCGTCCACCCTGAATAGAGCTGTCTTTAAACAAAAAGGCCAAATTTTTTAGAGGGCAATTAGTGAAACTTCGTGGAAATACTAATTGCTTGATTGTTAATGAGTTAGAAAACAAGACTGGTTCTATCCTAAACTGTTAGAGCCTTTCAGTCTCTTTGAACACAACCTGCCTCCTCCCCTCATAGTCCTGCCATTTTGTTCATTGGGAAGAAAAAGAAAGTTACCCTATCCCACTCGGGAGCTGGAGGTATTGTTTCCCCATTTCATGCCAGATATGCGGGTAAATTTCAGAGTTGACACCTCTCCAAAAGGCTTTATTTCGCTTTGATCTAATAAAACCCTAAGACTATTCATGTTTGCGTCAAAAGTTCAGTTACGTTGGCTGAGAAGTGCTTGAATCACCTAATACATGAACTATATGCACGAAATCAGCCTTGCAAAAGTTTGATGTACTGTAATAATTCTGTAGCTTATGACATATAGACAAAAGAAAAAAGGATTTTCATACCCCTGTGAACAACATTAAACTTTTTTTGGATTTTGTTAGCTCCCTGATCTCAGCATAGACATTGTATTGGAGCCCTTTTGATGTTGACAATTTTTGTTTTGTTAGCAGTGTTGTCAAAGGCACACTTAAAGCGCGCTTAAGCCCTGAAGCGAGGCTCAAAACATGTTGAGCGATTTGCCTCCCTTTGTGGGCGCTTTAGTATCGCATCAAGGCTCTAACGCATACTATTCCTTTCCAATGAGTGTAATCATGAAAAGGCAACATTAAACAATTGATATTTCACTTTATCGTAATTTTTTCCCAATATCTTTGTCCATAAATTTGTTATTCATGCTTATAATTATTAGTCTTGGACTACATATACATATTTTTACTTTTTCTCAAGTTGCGCCTTTTTTCATTAAAGCCCAAGCTTTATTTGCGCTTTGCGCTTAAAGCCCCAACGGACCTTAGAGCTTTTTTGCGCATTTAACCTTTGATAAAACTATTTGTTAGCTCCCTTTTCTTTAGCATAGATATTGTACTGGAGCTAGCCTTTTGGTTCCTTTTGTAACTATGCATCTTTTTCATGCCTTAATTAATGATATTTACTTACTTCATTGAGATAAGGTCTGCGTACTCACTACCCTCCCCAGACCCCGCTTGTGGGATTATACTGGGCTTTTTTTGTTGTTGACTTGTTGTTGTTGTTGTTGTTTTGTTCTTCATTGGAAAAAAGAAGAAGTAAAGAGGTAAAGAAGGAAAAGAAAGCCTTGATATCTGAGGTTTTCTATTTCAAACTTAGTAGTGATGATATTATGCATGAATTTAGGATGTAAAGTTTGGATTCGAACAAGGAGAAATGAAATTAATATTTTCAATTTATGCTTACTAAAAAGGTTGTTTTGTGCTTGTTACATTGTGCTTAGAGTCCAGTGGATGTGATGGTGGAGGTCACGATTCCCATTGATGATTGCTGATTTTGTGGTTGTGTACATGCTGATGATTCTTTTCCTTCGGGATATTGTGGAGTAGGAGAACTCAAGTCTTGTTTAGATGGGGAAATTACCTTGTATAAGCCCTTCTATTAAGTGGAAGGGAAAGGGCTAAGATAACCAAATTTCCTTCTCTCATGAACCAATCTACAGTGAAGGTTCCAATTCTAGGTGACTCAATCTCAAAGATTTAAAATCATTTTACAAAAATAGGTTCCCTTGACCCCAAACTTCAGGTCACTAATTTGACTATCCTTGGAGAGACAGCTTCTTAGAAATTAAAGCTGCTAAGCTTCAAAGAATCAGTGGCTCAATGTGGAGTGTTAACTGGATATTTAAAATTCAACATGTAATGTCCGGACACGATATTTGCCAGGGATTATGTAAATGACTTAATAACCTTATTTGCTTTAGACTTAAAAGTTTTAATCCTTCAATATTACAGCATTTTTCATACCAAGAAAAGTATTAGCATTATCAACATTCTAATCTGAACTAATCTTCATGACCAGTTGTAGTGCATATTGTGATTTCTAGTTCTGATCAAGTTATTATTGGGTGAAACTGTAAAGCAACTTCCCAGCATCCTCTTTTTCACATTATTTTCTTTTTGATATAAAGCTTTTGATTTGTTCTTCACAGGCTGATGTTCTGGAGTATTATGATCAGACTGTAAATTCACCAAGTGGCTCCTATTATATTCCTGCTGTGTTAAGGGTATGCCATTAGTCAGCACCAATGACATTCTAAGCCTTCTCTGTGCATTTCAACTGGCATCATTGGTTTATTATGCTTTCTTTCTTCTTTATATCTTGATTTGTCTGTTCTTTTTTCTTACTCTGACATCTCGGTACTTCCAGGTTCCTCATTTACTTCAGGTTGTCAAACGGAGGAGAATAAAGAAAGCTCTCAGTCGTAAGAATATCTTTTATCGGGACAACTACATGTGCCAGTAAGTGCTTTGCCACCTTTTTGATGCCTGTAGTGGTGCTATTTGGTTCTGGTTAAAAACTGATATTAGAACTGTTCTACTTCTCCAAAGGAATGATCAACTGTTTTATTCTCTGAAGCAAAAATGTACCTGTAATTACTGTTGTGTGTTTGACAACAGCAAGCACGATGAAGTGAATAAGCAAAAATGAACTCTTATATCTCCACATAGAGTTCCCTTTTGGCCCCTCAACGGCCCTTTTCCCATCCGTATTGAGCTCTAAAAACATGTGGAGTATACTTTTGAAATCACATCTATTGAGTCCTACTCAGGCACACCAAAAAAATTAAGGAGATGCCATTTTTCCTGTCACTTTAATTGAGGCAAAGATGATTAATGGTTCTCATTCTTTTGCACACAAGGACCACCAAGACATAAAATTTTCCTCCTTTTGATTGGATTCTTAGCTTTCGGATTAGCATAAATCACAGATTCCATAGTAAGAAAGCAGTTTTCTTGGTGGCTTCAAGGAGAAATTCTAAGATATAGAGTGGCATTTCGGGGGGAAAAGAAATGCACATCTCGGTTGCTTTCTCCTCTACTAAATGCTGCAAGGCCATAATAGATGTTAATTCCATGTTGCAAATTCCTGCTACTCTACCAGAAACTTTGAATGTACATCCTCTGTTATCTCGAACAACCAAGGAAACATCTATTGTGAATGACTTTTGCCACTAAACGCCAAGCCAAAGCAACTTTGAAGCCTATTACAAATTCATCAACAAAGTTATCATGTTTTACATTCACAAAGATCTCCACCATTGAGCACAAGTAACCACCTCATCAAACCTTATTTCTCTTGTCCTTGTTTTATCGTTTATTCTCAACAATTTTTCTCCTTAGCTCCCCTTATATTGGAAATCTGAGTAAGGTCTTGGTTTTGCTACTATAAATGGGACAGATTTTATGAAAGCTAAACAGAGACAGGATGTGTCTTGAGCTCTCTTAGCTTTTCCTGTACTTGTGACTTGGGAGACCATGATTTATAATCAATGTCCTAATACCTTTTCCTATATTAACAGATATTGTTCTTCGGATGAGAACTTGACTGTTGATCATGTTCTGCCAATTGCCCGTGGTGGAGAATGGACCTGGGAGAATCTGGTAAGATTGCCTATAATGTTATCTAACTCCCGCTGTCACTTAATTATTTTTCTATGCAGATAATAATGTTTGTGCTAATTCGGCTTCAAAAGATTGCACCTTTTGTCCTTATAAAAGGCCATGACTGGTTAAGCATCAATTTGAGTTGATCAAAATCTTAATCTAGGTCGGTCTAATTCGTCACTTGATTTCTGCTTATTTTGATTAGGAGCAAAGGATGTGTAAAAAAGCTATGTATTATATGCCGATATAGATCATGCACAGATATAAAGGACAAATGGATTTGGTAGGTAAAATGTGGATAACATACTAGAATTGTCTCAACTAGTCCGATGATGTTGAAATTCCTTGGGAACAGGACTGACTAGAATGAACCAAGTCTTAGAAGCTGGATGGTGCTAGTCTAACGATTATTATTGCGTGAGCACCAGTTTTTGTGTAATTTGGTTTTGCAACTTGAACTAATAAATATCATCTGCTTTGTCAAAAAGAAAATTTAAAGATTTAATTAATGTTGTAAATTAGATTTATATCGCAAAACAACATTTCATTATATCTGAAGTGGCAACTCTTGAATGAGGCTTCCCTTTTTCCTCAGTTCTCACTTCAGATAGTGTGTATCCCCCCCCCCCCCCCCCCCCCCC